AATCATCATTATTTTTCAGTTTTTTCTTTTTTTTTATGATCTTTTAATCCTTACAATTTTCATTCGCTTATTAAATGTGATATCAATTTTTTGTTGTTGTTGGTGTTCTAGGTTTAGTTCTTTGTCTTCAAAGAGGTTTTCTCATTATAAGATTTGTTTTTTTTTTATATTCTAAATTCCTTTGATCTCTCAATTTCTTTTATTTTATACTAATTATCTCAAATCTTAGAATTATGAAAATTATCAACTTTTCGTATTCTAAGAAAAAAAATTGATCAATCATCCAAAAAGAATATAGAGGAAAAGTTTCACCTTTACATTTTACAAAGAACATGGAAGAGGGAAGTGCCACTATTTTCCTATTTTGTGTTTGGCAACGAAGGGAGAAGAAGGCCAACAACCTTTAAGTATCATTTTATTGAATTAAATAACAAACTCAAATAATTTTTTAATAGTAATGTCCATCACCTATGTTACAATAAAATGGCTGCCTTCTTAGGGGTAAATGATGATTGGCAAAGAAGTGCACTTTAGTTGTCACTTTCACAAATTTTTAGGTTGTAAAGGTGATGCTAAGAGAGTTGTGGATAAAGTCAAAACCAAACTAGAGAGTTGGAAAAGAAAAGTTGTATCTCATGTTGGTCAATCAATGTTAATTCAAAGTACAATTCTCCCCTTACCTACCTATGTCATGTTCATTAAATTTGCAAATGCATATTGTAATCAACTGACTTCTCTCACAAGAAAGTTAGGATAGGGTTATTTGGATGATGGTTAACACATCTATCTTGAAAATTAGGCTTCTTTCTCTGTTCCTAAATCACAATGAGCATTAGACTTTAGGGATTTTAGGCTTTTGAATATGACACTTATTATGAAACTTTTTGATTGATGGTCATAAATTATAGGCTCAAATATTTGCATCAAGTATTTACATGGTAATAAAAAATTTTCAATTGTCTTTCTTGGTCTTAAACATCTTATACTTGGCTAGCATGCTTAAATGTCATTTTGTTTTAAGGCAAAGATATCATTGGATTGTTGGTAATGACTAGTCAATCAGTTGTTACAATGGCCTTTGGTTGCCTTTTGGTGAGTCCCCAAAAATTTTCTCATCAACTTTCAATAGCAATGCTTCTTCTTTACATGTAACAATTTTTATTGATCCAAATTCTAATTCTTGGATGCTATATGATATCAACTTATTGATTATTTTCTGGACCTAATGGTCCATATAATTTCTTCTATTCATCTTCCTTTGAATTCCCAACAGGTGGATGATGTTTTGATTTTGAGACATATTCCTCATGGTCATTTGACTACTTCTTCAACCTACAGAGAACTCTCTCTTACGGTTGTCATCATTACTCTATGCCTTCAATGATATCACATGGAATCTTTTTGGTTGATTAAGTACTTTCTCTGTCTAGAGTACATCTCTTCTTATGGAAGTGTCCTATTCCACTTGTTACTAAATCTCTTGCTTAACATTCACATAAAATTGATCATGTATTTTATCATATATTTTTTACTAGTCCAGTGATTTAAAGCATTTGGTTTGCCTTAAGGTTGTTTATTTAAGTGGATTAATATCTAGATCATGGTTAATTTTCATGATTGGTTGCATCAGTAGTACTTGTTGGATGATCCTAGACAATTGACTCACTTGTCCATTTTGGCATAGGGGGTAATTATCATGTGGGCTATTTGGAAGGCCCATTGTAAGACAATGATTGAACATTGGTTATTTCACCATTTTTTGCTGGTATTTGCTACTAACTTACAAAGTGATAAAATTCATTCATATATAGTAGCGTATTCTTCAATAAAAAATGTTGGACCTCTAATTCTAGCACCAATTGTTAGACTAAGCCTCATTTTTATTAGACAGTCTATGCCCTTAGCTTCGATTAAATTGATGTATTTTGACATTTGTTACTAAATAAATTCAAATCATTATTATTTCATGCGTGTTTGGTATATTTCTATGTATTACCCGTTAAACTAAATATATATGACATGCTTGTTAGTTTAGAATGTTCCCAATTGTTTGATGAACTCGGAGAGTTTATCATGCCAAGGCCAATATTGATGTGTTGTCAAATTAGTGAAATAGTTTGTCTCAACTAATAGGTTATACCCAAGGTGTAATCAGTGGGTGTTTGTTAAAGCATTGGATAATGACCATTTCTATTTATGCCATAGACCTTGGAGACAAATGGGAAAAAATAAAACTTACAATTAACTTCAGGCTTGGTAATGGTACTATCTTAAGTGTTAGATTGGGTTGCTTTTGATATATCAAACAATGAACTCATCTAAGGATCAAGTACTTGAGTATGTTGGAGCAATTTGGAATATCACTTGAGTGGGTGATCATTGTGATAAAAATAATATTGACCACTTTGTTAGACAAAGAGAATGTTACTCTTTATCTCTTTGGTGGAAACCTAAAACTGTCAGTAGTGAATTTCAAAGTGTTTTAAGATTAATTTGCAAAATGTATGTATATTTATAAATAATTTTTTATGAAAATATTTGCAAAAGGTTTTAATCTTGGTATCCATTTAAGAAAAGAGTGTAACATTGCATTTCACAATTAGGGAAAAAATCCTTGGTTGAGAGTTTAAAAGCAAAAGTCTTTTGGACCGAAACCTGATAAACTTCTTTCTCATACTAATTCATTGGTTTTGGGCTTCATAAGGTGGTTGAAACCAAAGTCCATTTATGTTAAAGTGTCAAGCCTATTCTAAGTCCAATAAGATTGGGTATGAGGTTCGTTAGGTATATCTAGTGAATTCAGCACATATGGTTCTTTACATAGGCAAAACCCATATGCATTAGTGTAAGGACTTAGTAGGTCCCATGCCATACAATATTTGTGTTTGATGGGCCAGATAAATATGTGATTTTAAATGATTGAGTGATTGGTCAAATTCACATTAAAGACTAGTTTGACTAAACAAATGGATAATTGGGCTATATGAGTCAAATTTGATATGGGCTCGTATTTTTCTTATTTCTAGTATGGTTATGAGGGTTTTCAAATTAGAGAACTTCTAATTAAGTTAGAAATCAGATTTAGAAACTCTTAGTAGGATTATGACTTTCCATCTCTATATGAGATAGAGTAAGAAAGAATTTTGAAAGAGATTATCGCATATTCTCATGCCTCCAAACCCTAGTTCGACCAAGGATCTAAGGGGGGACTTTTCTCTCTTTTTTGTTTGAGTTTTTCAACAAAAATACATAATACTCAGGTCATTAATAGCAATTTTTTTTTTAAAAAAAATTGACTTGCAGTTCGAACCAATTTTGCCTCCGAGTCATGGATCACAATTTACCGGTTCAACCATACACATTTAGTGTGCAACCTATTACCTAGTCACCGGGTCGAATGAGTCAATGGTCCAACCATTCGAATCGGATGTTTTTTGAACAAGTCAATGGTTTTTGACCATCTTTTTGGGTTTTACTAAAATCAGACCCAAAATCTTGATTAGGTGACGGTTTAAGCGGTTTAACCAACCATGCCAAATAGTGGGTTGAAAACATTGATTAATAGCTGCACACAAAGGAGGCTTTTGGAGTGTACATTGATTCACACCAACTTGCTAAATTGAATTCTTGGATTAAAGTTACGCCATCTTCAGTTCTTGGGCTCGATTCACACTTGAATTTTGGGCGTGAACTACCACTTTGGGAGTTGCAATTTGTGGCATCCATATCAGGTACAACCCCAACTCATCATTGACATCAAATTTGATAATCTAAACCTAGATCAAACCTAGGAGAAAATTGTTTCTCCATGAGATTTTGAATTCTTCTTTCTTGGGCTGATAAAAGATTTAAAATTTATACCTGCAAACCCAACAAGGTTTGACCTTTTTGGTCACAAATCAGCCCTTTCAACACTTCCTCCACCCTAAAGTTGAACTTTGATGGATCTTTGAATGGCTATAATGGTAGTACATTTTTTTTTTCACCTAGAGATTCCAATGGTAAATTCTGTTTTGGTAGAGCTATCAAGTTACCTTTGGGTATTCCCCTAGAAATTGAAGCCAATGCAGCCCTATATGCTATCCATTTGCCTTAGAAATTTGGCATGCCATCAGTTTTATTGAGGGTGATTCTCACACTATCATCTCGAGTTTGTTGGATTCTGATTTCACACCACCATGGTGAATCAGGAATATTGTTGCTGATTAAAGGGCTTACCTTGTAATATATATATATCTCCTCCCTCCAACAATTGTGAATATGCCTTGATTCAATGCTGTAAATAATGTTTTTGTGAGTTGAAAAAACAAAGATTAATATGCAAAAATGATCAAAGATGGTTTCACTGGGAGAGGGTAAGAAAACTGAAAAATAATTTTTATTGGAAAAAAATCATTTAAAAGCATACCGGGGTTTGTGCTCTGCTTTTCTAAAGGATCCCATCCTTTTTATTTAATTGAGTGTGTATTAACAGTTGTCTAAACTACAAAGATTTTCTTTAATAATATTTAGGAGTGGAACTACTCATTTCTTAGACTATATTTCTTGAAATAATAGGATGCTATGTATTTGAAGGAAAAACTCTTTGATACCAAGGTCTTGAAACAATTGGATTAGGTCTCGGATCGGGTATCAAACAATTCGATCGGGTACCAGACAGCCCTATTTGTTATCCATACAAAAAAGTTATTTGGGAGGGCTTCTGCGTTTGAGGTGAGGACCAATGTTTCGGAGAAACTACATATAGAGTAGCTTCCTATTTCAGCTGTGTTTCAGACAGTGATCGGCTTTTCGAATTTTCACGAAATACAACTTCTGATGTTCACATGTGGGAGCCAACCTGTAGCACTAGAAGCTGCGCGTGTTCTGAAAGCCCTTCCAAACGGGCACTATAAGTACAACCCGTTTGGGAGTGAAAACCCTGGGGCTTTCCGTTGAAGTCTCATGTTATAAATGGCTTCCCCGTGTAGCCCGGTTGGGTACTTGGGTTCAGGTTCAGCATATCGGCTTGGCCCCAAACCGGCCCAATTCGCTCGACGGCTCGAGTTGAGTATCGCCTACCTTTTCCTGGTGAAGTTTTCGCGCCAAAAAATACTGTGACTGGAAAGCAAGAGGAATAACTGCCGAAGAAACCCTAATTTTCTCCAAGACATTCTATGGCGCCCTCTGCGATTCCTGATTCTCCATCTCCACCTACAGTATCTGACAACGAAGAAAATAATCTTCAAGTTATTATTTATTTTCTCGAACTTTTCTTACTCCATTAAAGTTTTATTGTTCTTCAATTTTCATATTTGCGCCTTCACTAATGTTTGCCTGGTTCTTGTCATACAGCAATTCTTCGTTCTACACAAAGCATTGCCTCGAAAATCTAGTAGAAAAGTCTCTGGACCCGGAAAAACCAGAAGAAAGATAGATTTGTCTCCAGCATCTCCTAAATCAGAAGGGAAATCAGGTGCCAACCACGTCGAAGAAGAAGATGATTGTTACTACGAACAGTTGCGTGTTGAAGCTTTCAATGCGGTGTGGTCGGAGATCGAAACAAAAATAAAGGTTCGTGGATATCCTCCACACTTATGACTCTCTTTCAATCTCATTGCAATTTATGGCACTTGATCGAAATTTCGTCCTTATTTGCTGGTGGCAGGACGTTCTAAGGGAAATTAATATCAGTGCATTTGATGAGGTACACCGATGGGTTTGTGAATGTTTCTCGACTATTAAGTCCTCTGGAACACCTGAAGCAGTTCGTCCATACCCTCTTGTCACTGATATCAATTGCAAACAGATTTTTACAGCCCTGGTGCTTACAAGTAAGTTCTTTTCTATTCTAGAATTTAAAGTTATCTTCTTTATCTCATAGTTATCAGCACTCAAATTATCTAGCATTTATCGAAGATAAATATTGAACTGTTTATAAATCGGATTAATTACATTTGTATTATTTTTCTATCTCCCTATGTGTGTGCATTATGCATGACACCATGCGTTTTATATGAAATGAACCATTGTTAAAGAGGGTAAAACAGCCTTTGAATCATTTGCTCTATTTAATAGCATACTAAAGACTGTTTTTAAGCTATATAGATGTAATTTAAAGGCTAATTATGGTTTGCAGAGAACATAGAATTTGTTGATGATCTCTTGACATTTGAAGAGCTTGGATTGCATTTGAAATCTAAAGGATGCCATGTGGCTAATCTTTCTTCATTGGACTTTTCTGCCAAGAATGGGATTGGTGGATGCCTCAGAAGTCTATTGAGACAGTTAGTTATGGTTTCCTTGGATGTAAGTGTCTTTACTATAAAAGTAAGAATTTCTCAAGGTGTCTCTTCAATCCTTGTCTTATATTTCCCAGTGTTGATTTAAAACAGGCACCTGATATAGCTGTTTTAGCTTCATGGTATAGTGAACAAGAGAACTACAATAATCCCTCGGTTGTGATAATTGGGGATATGGAGCGATGTAGTGGATCTGTATTAGCTGAGTTTATCTTGATGTTAAGGTAATCTTTCTCATACATTTAAGCAAAGTGCATGTGCAACCTGGTTCCCTAAACAAATTGTATGTCCAAGCTAATGAGTATGTGTATTCTCTTCTCTCTCTCTCTCTCTCTCTCTCTCACACACACACACACACACACACACTCTTCCCACCCATATCACTTTGGCTTTTGTAGACTATCAGCTAAGGGTGTTAATGGACCAGTTTTGGATTGGACTCCGTCCAGTCCAAAATCATTTTGGATGGATTGGACGGACCAACGAGACATATTGGATTGGACCAATCCGGTCCAAAATATTTATTAGATTGGATTGGACCTGGTCCGTTCGTAACAAATTTATATTGGATTGGGTTGGATTAAGCCAATATCTGGTCCATTGATATAAGATAAGAATTATGTGTCAATGGGCTGGGTTTGGGTTGAAACCAATCTAAATCCAAATGAATTTGAACAGATTGAAAGGTCCAGACAACATTGAATTGGACCAATCCAAATTGGTCCAAAACATTCATTGGATTGGATTGGACCTGATCCATTTATAATGGACTCATGTTGGACTGCATCAGATTGGACCAAATCCAGTCCAATTGACACCCCTACTATCAGCTACCCAATTACTTCTTTCATTTTCCATTTTCTTCTATGGAAGTCGGAAACTCTCTTTTGTTGCAGATAAGAAAAAAAGAATTGAATTGATAAGGGTCTTCTATGAGTTTATCCATAGATTTTTTGTAAGATCCAGTAATTTGAAAGGCATGCCTAGGCACACAGGTGAGGTGCATTTTAAGGTATGGGCTGTGCTTAGGCCCCAGGAGCAACACTTTCAAAAGGTGCCAGCCATGCGCCTAGTGCACCTTATGCTTCAACCCAGGTGCATACCTTTTCAAAATTTGCACATTTTCTCTTTTTTAAGCTAGCAGCTTGGTTGGGGTCTCTACCGCTTGACCCCTGACCAAGCCCCTTGAGGCAAATCCAAATAGGTCCATATTGGGGTCTTAAATTCCTAATCCCTTCAAAAAAGAGATTTTATAATTTTAATTGTCTTTTAAACCTATTTGGGGTTGCTGCAAGGGGCTTGGTGCAAAGGTGGCTCATGGTCAGGAATGCAAAATGTTTAACATCACATTAGTTATTTGAAACAGTGCAATTGGGAAAAAAATAAAGAGATTGAGAGTTTTACATGCTTGAATATGTTTTATATGTTTTTTTAATTGTAAACGGTTATATGTTTTATATGAATAATCAAACATAATACGTTTTATAGGTTATGTACTTATGCTTGATTTTATTTTTAAAATTTTCATTTTGAATATGTTTTATATGTTATGTTATGTATTTTAATTTGAGATAATAGGTTTTTTAAAACTTAAGTTTATATTTTAATTAATATTATGTTTAATATATTTTTATTTTTTTTTTCAGTTTTGGAGGTTTTTTGTCTTGTTTTTTTTGCACCTTATGCATTTAAAACACATGTAAGATCAATCTTCATTTAATTTGTTATCTTTGGCCCTTACTACTTAGTCCTTTTTTCTTTTTAAACGTGCCATGCTTATGTTTACCATATACAACTATCCACTATTTAATGTTTTAATTGTCAACAACATCCCTGCATATGATGTGCACTAGAAAAAAGTTGTTACGATTAAAACACCATCAACTTTGTAAAGGACTTAAAATCAGAATTTTCAGTCATCATAAATGTTGCAGATCTTGGAAAAATACTTTATAATGCATCTAAAAATTTAGTGATTGGATACTTGAGCCAAAAGTTTTGGCTCCTTATGGCTAAGTTTCTTATCCTCTTTGTGTGATTTGTAGTTCTGTGGTTTCCTTTTCCAACTCTGTTGATTGCAACTTAGTTTGGCCTTGATATCAGGTATCTTACCAAGTGATTCGAAGAACTTTTACCTTGTGCTTTTTTTGATGGATATAACAGCAAAATTTATTAGGAATGGATAAAAAGATCAATATGTACAATGATGTCAGGCATTCCTGGTGTAGAAACAGGTTTTTCCACTGCTTGTTTTTCCATCCCCATCAAATTACATTTATTCAGTTAATGCTATTACACTACTGGTTCCCCAGCATGCCCCAAAACAGCTGACTCCTATCTACTTGTCCAACATATCAACCAGTCACTTTTACCTTGTACTTTTTCTTGAAACTATTTTCTCTGGTTGCATTACCTGAAACTAGCAGATAATAATAGCTCAGATGATTCTTTTAGTACTTCATGCTAAAAAAATGTTTTCAACTTTTCATCTTTTCTAATAACAATTTTGAAGTCAAGTTTCATCTTATATATTAATATCTATGCAATTTTTGTCATGTTTATGAAATTAAGTGGATCGGTCATCGACATGCTTCAGCAATGTATTCCAGTACCTTCTATGCTTTGTGTTTAATTCTATTGTCATATCAATAGTGTATAGTGTTAGTGCTTCTTTGTTTTATGCAATATCTATATCAGGTAATAAATGTTCACTCTTGGTTTTCTTTAGGGAATGGGTGGTTAAGATTCCGATTATTTTAGTAATGGGTGTTGCTACAACTATTGATGCCCCAAGAAACCTACTTCCATCAAATGCATTGAAACATTTGTGCCCTTTTAAGTTCAGTCTGGGATCTCCATATGAGAGAATGGATGCAATTGTTGAGGCTGTTCTGCTTAAAACTTGTTTTGGATTTAATGTTGGCCACAAAGTGGTCTTCTTCTTGAGAAACTACTTCCAAAGGCAGGATGGAACAGTGACATCTTTCATTAAGGCCTTCAAGGTTTGTATTTTCAATCTTATGTGCAAGTGGTTGGTATTGTTGTGTTGTTATACTGTATTGCTCTCATTTTTATCGTCTTTACTGTGAGGCAACTCCTAGCATGTGCTTTATCTGGCCAACATGATTGGATCTCTGTTGACAATATGCCTTCACAACTTTTATGCAGATTGCATGTGCTAAACATTTTTCCACAGAGCCTCTAAGTTTCTTATGCAGAGATTTACTCAATGATGATAGCGAGGTGAAATTGCTTTTCCTTCTTTCTTTGGAAAATAAGGGCTGTAACAAGTTGTTTCAAAGCCTAACTGGTTGTTAGATAATAGTTGAAGTGGCTCAAATTAATGACTTGTTTTTGTCTTTTAGTGGATAAAAGAGTTAATTAATAAATTATTCAAGGGTATGCTAATCAACCCAATTTCAGCATCAGCCATTAAGGAGCTAACAACCTCCTTTATGACTTTTTCACTACAAGACAAAGAATAAGTTATTCAGTTCATTCACTTCAGCTGTTACTGAATGTCCCCTAATTCTTGTTTGATTATTGTTTTTCTTCTTTGTGGTGTCAATGGATGGTCTAGTTAGTCAGCTAACTTTACAGCAGGGTAGATACAGGCAGTTCTAAGCTTGGAATGACCTGGTTATCTAGTGTATATAAGTGCACACATATAAATTATATATATTTATACATAATTGAACACTTAAGTTTATAAAATCTACACATCTCACATGTATAACCATATAAACACATACTATGTAACCGGTAATCTATGTTAAACCAGTAGTGTACTTTCACTAATCACAGAAATGCATAGTATGTTGACATAGAACTGATAGGGGTTGGCATTTTTTATGCCATCTCTGCAGGCTGGGTTGTCTGGTAAGGTCCACACTTAGGTCTAGGTTGAGCTAGTGTTTTAGGTTCAATGGCCTTGCTGGAGCTGTGCTGGTCCAGTGTTCATTATGCCCTGTCTTTTTCTGCATATGGAGATGGCATCCTTCACTGGATTTTATGCTATAATTGGGGAAAATGGGTGAGAAAACTCAGGATTTAGTTCTGAGAATTTCCAACATTATTTTTTATTTCTTTTTCCACTATGGTGTGAATATGCTGAGTTATTTGAATGTTTTGTTCTCTTTCATTTAGTAAAAAGTCATTTGAAGTACCATAATAAAAAATGGTTGTGGAATCTAGTTATACACAGAGACATGAATGCACATGCATGTACACAGGCCTTACATGATGCCCATCGCTTAGGAATATTATTTGGGTAATGTTTTTGCCTTTTGGTATTCATGACAAAGAAGTTGGTTTAAGATGATATTTCTTTTTTCTTCCAAGGAATGGAAAGCCATTTTGATCCCTGTCTCTCTATTAGAAGTGTCAAATGATATCTATGTTATATCATGTTTATATGCTAACAAATTAATTTATGATTAGGTTTGCATCAGTTTGTTAATTTATTCATATTTCCTTTTGAAAGGCTTGCCCCTTCAATGCACATCCTAAGTTTGACTTATCTTTCATTATTTACCTATTGATGGGTTTTCCAGTGCAGGGTTTCTGGAGTGAGAAATGTGCTCTTTTGCCGGAAGTGATGCTCAAGAATGCTTTTAGTTTTCCATCTTGTCAAAGGTACTTCAGAGTATTTTACAGTTGAGGATATGCACTATGCCTCTTCAAATCTACAGGATTAATAATGTGCACTATCTGGACAAGAATGTAAACATGGATTGCAAAAACTGTGACCAGGTGTAAAATGACTGAAGGGACAAGCGAGAATTTGGCTTCTGGTTTATTTGAGTTGAAGAAATTGCAGAAGAATTGGAGTTCGGTGGTTCTTGTAAGGCCTAAAATACTCTCTTACTAGTTATTCAGAATTTTTCCAAAACATAGTGAAGTTTCTCCATTTCCCCAATGGACAAAATGAAAACATTCTGGAATAGTGATTCTGGACCTTTTTATTGACAGTTTTAACTAGGTTTTCAGAATATAAATTTATTTTAAGAATTTTAGTTGAATAATTAATATAAAATTATTTTGCTCGTTATAATAATCATACAATAATATGAATCATAGTAATAATTAATATGGCCTCAAAATTTTAGATAGATATTATTTTAAAAAACCTACTTAGTTTTTAATGGTACTCAACTTGCATGATAGTAGCTAGATCTTCCCATCAATGCCTATTTAAAATTTTTAATCTTCTATTGTTTTGAGGTATATAGTGAGTTTTTATTTTTTTTAAGTGTCTAATAATCCTTTATAACATTTCTTGAAGTTTCATTAATAAATTCTATATTTATCTTCATTCATAAAAAAATTAATAAATTCTATATTCTTTTTAATATTTTAAAGAATTTCCTAATACTCTTGGGTTTTCCAGATATCTAAGTGAATTTTACAAATTTTTTGATCAGATTGAAAAAACTTTATTGATGTGCTAAGAAGAACTATTTATACATAGTTATATTCCAGATGCATCTCTTCACTTCACCTAGTACCACTAGCCACCCATCTGTTTTTCTTACAAATTGCCTAAGTGACCAATCCCCAAAACAATTGGCCTAGTACCCCGAGTTATTCTGGTATGTTTCTATTTTAAGTTTGCAATGCAAGACCTATCAACTTGCTAAACATTGTAGATTTTTTTTCCAAAGAAGCAATACTTCTTTTCCCTTCAATATTGTGCATACTGATGTTTGGATAGTTTTCATTGACACACATGATTGTATATGTTGAAATCAAGAGATGAAGTTCTTGAAAATATCAAGAATTTTTATAGTTTGGTGGAAATCCACTTTGAGAGAAAACTCAATATCTAGAAGAGAAAGGTCTGCACCAAGGCTCTTGTATCTATACACCACAGCAGAATGGTGTAAGGAAAAATAAGAACCATGTGTTGGATATCAGATTCAGTACATATATCCCTATTCAATTTTGGGGAGCTTCTGTAGAAATAATTGCCTATTTGATTAAGAAGAGGCCATTCAAAGTACTAAGGTTTCAGTCTTTCCTTGATTAGCCCCTCTTTAAGGTTATTCTTGATTTGTGTGTTTTATTCATGACGTGAGTACTAATCCAAGTCAAGTTTGATGCAAAGGTGATTGTGTTTTCTTAAGGTTTTTATTTACTCAAAGTTATATTATTGTTATGATCCATTTTCCGATAAGTAAAAGATATCTTGTATTAAATTAGAGTAATAATGTTAAATTTTACAGTTCACAGCTCACATCAGGAGCCGATCCTCCTTATCACATTATGCATACAAATTATCCCCCAAAAAAGTTACTCCCTAGAGACCCACCTAAAGGTGGCCTCTACCTCTCTTGCTAATTGTCTGATTTTCATCATGAGCTGTTGGTACACCCAAGGTCCTTGGCTGTTATTAATCATCCATCCCACTAGCATCATAGAGTCCCATTCAATCTCCACCTGTTTTAGATTTAGCTGCTTTGCAAGCTTCAGGCCTTGCAACATCCATCTCTGTCATTTGACAGATGGATGTTTGTTTCAGTGCTTACATGATTATACTTGTATTATATCTTTTTTGGATTAATAATGTACTGGTTTTGATGAATTTTATCTTTCTGCAAATTGGATTGTTTTTGCTAAGGTTATGCCTTAAAACTTCATGAATTCCCTTTTCTATCTTGTACTTGTCGCTGATAACTTCCTGATTTTTTTGATCAGCTTGTCATTTGTTGACCATACATTAGCATATTTTGTCATGGATGAACTTATGCTTCTTGACAAATACATGTTCATTGCAGTGCTTACATGAAGTTGGAAAGTTTCAGAAAATGCATCTATTAGACATAGTCTGTGAGGCACTTGATCCAGCAACATACAACAAAAATGCTTCAGATAATCACTTGGGAATAGGGAATGGATTTTCAAAGTCTTCTCCGTCAGATTGTTGTTTGCATGCTGGACAATATTCAGGGAAGAGTAAGGGAGGTATTATTAGTCAGGTAGTACGCAGGGTAAGGTATGTTTCTTGGTTTGTTTAGGTAATATTTGCTTTTTGATTATTTGATCCATGTATAGGATGCAAAGGTTGATAACAATGTTATATTAAAGATCACAACTGTATGAGAAAGTGTACAAAATGAAACAAAATGCAAAACAAGACAAAAAAAGTAAAGTTTGGGATTTTTATCTTGAGGAGGGTTGAAGAGGTATAGAAACAAAAAAACTACATAAACCCCCTCCTCCTCCTTATACAACAAGAATTCCTTTATGCCAGTCCCAAATCAATATCAAAGACCACCCTCATTGAAAAGCAACCAAGAAAATAATTCCATCACTGTAAAGCACAACAAAAACATAATCCTGAGATCCATGGACAAACCTATCACTTTAACCACAACAAAACAACGATTACCAAACACAGCAACCCAAAAAGCAGCACCAGAGAACTTTTTTTTTGATCAATAACAATGAAATTTTATTTTATTAATGATTGAGAGAATCGGAATTACAAAGGAAGGAGCTAAAGAATCTTAACTCCCAACTACCCAAGGTACATCTTGACTATGAAGCAATTACAAAACAGCCCAAAATATAGTGTTTCTGTTTACCCCTTGCCTAGCTAGACCATCTGCCAATGCATTTGCACTTCTCTTTATCCATGTACAATGAATTTCCATGTCCTTGGTGAGCCACTTGAACTTCCTCTTTCCATTGCTGTATTTCCAGAGCATAGAACTGTTCTCTTTTAGCCAATTCACCACAATTTCAGAATCACCTTCTATAATCAACTTTTTAATATTCATTTCCTTTGACCCTTTGTATCCCTTCAATAGCTCCTAGGAACTCAGCCCTCAAAGAATCTCCTACTCCAATCGGACCAGAGTACATGGCTAACAAATTCTCTGTTTCATCCCTTATTACTCCCCTTACTCCGAAAGGCCCTGGATTACTTATGCTGCTACCATCGAAATTCAGTTTGGTAAACCCATGAGGTGGAGGTGTCCAACAAGAGTTTAAGTTCTTTCTACTTGAACCTGATTCTGCAATCTCCTTCCAGCTCCTTGTCATCTCATCAACCGAGAACACTTTAAACAATTCCAATGTTCTCAACCAATGTATCATCCTAATGTGGATAGTCTCCAGGATTTCTTCCAAACTTCTCTCCTTATTTGAGGATATCCTTGAGTTTCTCTCCTCCCAAACAGTCCAACATACCGCAACCCTACCACATCTCCACATGATCGTGACCCTTTTGGTTGGCCAGTTAGGCATGGAAGTAAATAAGCTTTGCAAATTTAAAGGGGGAGTCCACCTGCACCCAAACAAAGAAGTAAACCATTCCCAAATAACTTTAACAAACTGACAAGAAATTAGTAAATGGTATCCAAACTCACCATTGGATTTATAGAGAACACACCAGTGAGGAGACAAACAACTGTTGGGTCTTTTTCTTTGGAGTAGATCCCTTGTATTAACTCTTTCCAGAAAGGCATCCCAACAGAAACTCCCAACCTTTGGAGGTATAGGTCGACACCACACATCTTTAACAGGGGAAGACGATCCAACAGGAGGAGAGGGTAACAGTGCTTTAAAGAAAGAGGCACAAGTGTAGGAACCCGAGGGAGTGGGTGTCCATATTCTGCTATCTGTCTTTGATGTCTCAATGAAGACCCCTTCAAGAATGGAAAGTAAGGCTAAAGTACAGGCTAACTCTGTGTCCCTGGCATCTCTTCTCAAACTCAAGTTCCATCCAAACCCAGAAGGTGAATTAGAAGGAACAAGAAAGGAGGAGACTAGTTCATTTTTAAGAGTAGAAATGGCGAAAAGGCTTGGAAATTGATCTTTCAATAAGGAATCCCCAACCCAAACATGTTCCCAAAACTTAATGAGGTTACCTGAGTGCAAGTCGTACCTGATCCATGGAGAGAACAAGGGCAAGATGGCTTGAATAGCTTTCCAAGGAGAAGCTCTTGTAGTCATAGCTAGAATCCTAGTATCCCATGCATTGTCTGCCAGCCCATGTATACTTCCCACTATCTTAACCCACAGTCTTTCTTTCTCCAATGAGAATCTCCACAACCATTTCCCTAGTAATGCTAGGTTCCTAGTCCTAATGTTCCCAATCCCCAAACCTCCATCCTTTTTACCCCTACATACTATCTCCCACCTAACCCTATGATCCTTCTTCTCCTCCCCCGACTCCCAAAGAAAATCTCTCATTAGTTTTTTCAGCCTACTAGCCACCTTAGTCGGAATCTTAGAGACTGACAAAAAATAGACAGGAAGGTTAGCCAGAGTAAACCAAGGTAATTTAAGGGCCAATTAGAAACTACACATCCCAACATGTCTGCATACTCACCAATCTCCCCTTCCTCCATATTGACTTTAACTATACAACTTTTCTCAAAGTTCACCCTAGGGTTTGAAATTTGCTCAAAAAGTTGTATAGTGAGCTTCAAGTTTCTAATCCAATTGATATCCCCTCCTTCACAAAACAGAATTGTGTTGTCTGCAAATTGTAGGTGTGTAAGCGGTATATTGTCTCTTCCAACTCTCCACCCTCTTATTAACTCCCTGGAATATGCTTTGGATATTAAGTCCCCCCAACACTTCTGCAACCAATGTAAACAAGAATGTAGGTGTGTAAGCGGTATATTGTCTCTTCCAACTCTCCACCCTCTTATTAACTCCCTGGAATATGCTTTGGATATTAAGTCCCCCCAACACTTCTGCAACCAATGTAAACAAGAAAGGGGATAAAGGGTCTCCTTGTCTAATCCCCCTCAAAGCTGGGAAGTAGTCCACCATTGTTCCATTCACCAAAATGGAATAATGACAATCCTTAATGCAACCCATCCCCCTCAAAGCTGGGAAGTAGTCCACCATTGTTCCATTCACCAAAATGGAATAATGACAATCCTTAATGCAACCCATCCCCCTCAAAGCTGGGAAGTAGTCCACCATTGTTTCATTCACCAAAATGGAATAATGACAATCCTTAATGCAACCCATCACCCATTTGCACCAAATGTCTCCAAACCCAAAGTTAATCATCACCTCCAAAAGGAAGGACCAATCAACCAAGTCATAAGCCTTTTCCAGATCTAATTTACAAACCACACCTCTTCTCCTGGATCTCTTATAGTCCTCTAAACTCTCATTTGCTACAAGTATTTGATATGTTATATTGTTATTTGCCTCTCCTTCACAAAAGCTCCTTGATTGCTTGCTATGATAGTTGGGAGCACCTTTCTAATTCTAAAGGACAACACCTTAGAGATGATCTTATAAAGGCCATTTATTAGACTGATCGGCCTATAATCCTTTGGATGATTTGCATCACTTTTCTTGGGTACCAAAGCAATGAAGGTAGAGTTTAACACAGGGTTGATTACTCCTCTGGTATGGAATTCATCGAATACCAACATTATGTTCTCCTTTAGTATCTCCCAACAATCCTGGTAAAAAGCCATCGTAAATCCATCTGGGCCTGGTGCCTTTGATCTATCCATTGAGAAAACCACTTCTTTTATTTCTTCCAACTCAAACTTCTTTTCCAACCACTCCCTATCTTCTCTCTTCAGTGTTGGCCATTCCAAACCTTCCAGCCACACCCTTTTATTTAGGGGCCTTCTAAATATATGCCTAAAATGATCTGCAAATGCTTCTGTAATTTCTCTTTGACTTGTGATTATTTCCACTTCAATCTCCAATCTGGTAATAAAATTTCTTTTCCTTCTGCCACTTGCCAAAGCATGAAAGAACTTAGTGTTCTTGTCCCCCTCTTTTAGCCACTTGCATCTTGACTTCTGCCTCCAGCTTATTTCCTCCTGAAGAATATAATCCTCTAACTGTTTACGCAATCTCCGTCTTTGTTCCTTATCCTCTACCATTAGGCTGCCTCTCCCTTCTTTGCTGTCCAGATCTTCAATTTGTGTAATCACACTCTGCTTCCTTTCCTCCAATCTCCCAAACTCTAATAGATTCCATTCCTTGATTCTTCTTTTAGATATTGATTCTTCCACACACTCCTTGCCCATTTGATGTCAAACTCTACTCTTTTAGTTTCCTGTAACAGTACCACATCTGGGTCTATTTTCTTGATGGCCTCTTTTATTACTGCTCTCTTTCTTGCACTACCCAGTCTCCTCACATTCCAGCTAATAATCCTCATTATTCTTTATTATCCACCCCTTACACCTATTACCCTCACATATTTCCTTTCCTCCTTTCCCCTCTAGCTCCAAAGCTTCTATCTCCTACCACATCCTTCACCAGTCTTTCAACCTCACTCATTTTTCTCCTTTTATTCTTTAACTTCGTCTCTCTTTTTTTGTAGGAATCCTTTCAGCTCATTTGGATTTTTCGGTTTACACCCCAGTTTCTGTATGAATGCTGCCACAGAGTCCTCACTTGCCAGCTCTCTTTTGTCTATCTTTCTATTTCTCTCCTCCTGGCCTATGTCCCTACCTCTACCTTCTTCCTCTTGACTTCTTTCTATCTGAAGCTCATCTAATCCTTCCTTCAGAGAGTTGTTCTCCACTTCATATATCATATTCTCAATGTTTCCCAGAATTCTGTTAATACTATTTGCTTCCACCTCTCTTTCTACCTCCCTCTCCAAATCCTCTCTAACACTGTTTCTATTACTTGCCCCTCCCCCTCCTATATAGGCTGCAGCCTCTGAATTGGGATTGGAATCTGGCACACAGGACACAGAGCACTCATTAGTAACAAAAATTGAATGGACACACAGTTACGTGGGTTTAGCTGGGAATGAAGAGGGGAACTGGATTTGGAAGTAGTCAGATCCTGATAAATTGTGCGAGTGTCAACTAACTCCTTGGCTTGGGTCTGAGGTGGTATCCTTCCTGTCTCCCTTGTTATACAGTGGTCCCTCTCTGCACCCACCAGTTTGTCCCTCACTACTTCGTTCCTGCTTTGCTTCAGGAGAGTTGCAGACACTTCCTTACAAACCTCCTGCCCGTTAGCAAGTTTTGGTAATGGAACTTCTAA